GAAGAGAGAGAGAATTTTTTAATATTTATTTTTCAGTTTTCAGTGGACACAACATCTTTGTTTGTATGTGGTGCTGAGGATCGAACCTGGGCCGCACGCATGCCAGGCGAGCTCACTACCGCTTGAGCCACATCTCCAGCCCAAGTTAACCTTTCTTAAGGTTTACATTTTACAAAATATGGTGTATTTTTATTCAAATCATTCCATCCATAGATTATGTGATAGAAAATAAATCCCTTCTGCATTAAAGGGCTGTATAAACTGATGACGTGGTTAGTTAGGTATATTTTTTTGAGGTCTAAATATATTTAATTCAAAAGATGTGAGCAGTGCACACTTAATTTATTCAACAAATAGTTTATTTACTGTCCACTATCCATTGCTGTGCTATTCACTGGGGAATATAGCTTGAATAGGCATAATCAGTATGCTCGTGAAACTCACTCTTTTTTGATACTGGGGATTGAATCTAGGGTCGTTTTACCACTGAGATACACCCCCCACAAACCTTTTTATTTATTTATTTTTAAAATTTGAGACAAAGTCTCGCTAAGTTGCTTAGGGTCTCATTAAGTTACTGAAGTTGATTTTGTACTTGCAATCTTCCTGCTTCAGCTTCCTCTGAATTTCTGGAATTATAGGAATGCACCCACTGTGTCTGGCTACTTACTGTCTTAATAAACCATCAGCATTTATGATAGAGATTAATTAAAAGTAAGAAAAGTGTAGATATGAAATGCTGAGGACCTCATTGTATACCTGACCAATTTTAGAAGTCATGAAGGCTCCTAAAAGAAGAAAAGGAGAAGTATCAGTTGATATAGCCATATGTGTGTGTATGGTAGGAAGAAAAGTTTAGAAGGAAGAGAGTTTGCAGATAGAACAGCATATGTAGGAACCTAGAGGGTAAGGCTGAGGACTTACAATTAATGCTAGGCAGAGAACAGAAATAAGAGAAAGGATTTAGTTTTTAACAGGGACCATTTGTTATAGACCTTATCTGCATTGTTCCAATTTTTTCTTGAACCATTAAAGGGTTTATAGTATGGGATAATATGATTAGATGTATGTTTCAGAAAGACTGTGGCTGTACTGATAATACTGGATTAGAGGGGGCATACTGAAGGCCAAGAAATCTAAAGAGGACCAAGGTAGAGATGCTCATCTGATAGGTAACTCCTGCCCCCCTCTAGGAGTTGAACCCAAGGGCACTCTACCATTGAACTACATCCCCAGGCCCTTTTTTATTTTGAGATTAATTGCTGAGGCTGGCCTTGCAATGCCTCAGCCTCCCAAGTAGCTGGGATTACAGGCATATGCCACCAAGCCCATCTGAGACGTAATATTTTTAAGTGATGAAACAGGTACATGAGAGCTTGTTACTTGCCCAAAATCACACTGCTAGACAACATGTAGTCTAGCCAGAATTTGAACCCAGATAAGTGTGTTAGGAGGTAGAATCCTTAGGACTCAGTTATTGATTGGATTGGAAAATGAGAGGCATAAGAATGAAATCAACATTTCACTAAGATAGGAAGAACAAGAAAAGTTAATGGGGAAGAAGTGGGAATATGATAAATTCAGGATTAGATATATTAATATTGAGGATGAGATTTGTTAAAGGAAATAAAGCAGTAGGAAATTTAGTTTTATAGGTTTGAAGCTTAGGAGATACTTGTTTTGGAGAGATTTGAGAATTAAAAAGAAAAATGTAGTTAGGGTGGTGAATGAGATTATCCAGCGAAAGCATCATAAGGAATGAAGACTGAGGAAGGAACCCAGGGTAAATTACCATACTTAATACATGGAAGAAAGGGGAGCCCATTGAGAAGAGTTGGTAATAAGAGGGCAGAAAGCTCAGGGGTATGAGGCTTTCAAAGGAAATCAGGAGATGAATCTGAACTGACCACTGGACTTAAGAAAAAGGAAATGAGACATTAAGAGCAGCCTTATTAATAAAGTATTGAGAATAGAAGCCAGCTAGCAGTGAATTCAGTAGGAAATGAGGAATAAGTGGGGACAATAAACGTGCACATCTTTTTCAGAAATTTTAGCTGTGGATTGGGAAGAATAACTTAAAGGTTGGAGGCAGAAGAAAGGACATGAAGTTTGGTGAGGATTTTGTGGGGGTGGTGGTGGTGATGGGACTGGGGAATGTCTTGAGTATGTTGAAACACTAATGAAAAGACGGGAAGGGAGGACACTGTGAAGATTTAGGAGAAGACTGGGTGTACAGTGGCCCAGGACTGTGATCCTTGTGACTAAAGGCTGAGGTAGAAGAATTGCAAGGGATAGAATCTAGGGCAAAATTATAGAGATTTTAAGGGCTGGGGGATCTAGCTTGGTGATAAGAGTACTTGCCTAGCATGTGTGAGGCCACAGGTTCAATTCCATTTGGCAAAAAAAGTTTTGTTTTTGTTTTTGAGAAAACTAGAGATTTTAGCCTTAGATGAAATAAACACATCTCAACATTTGGTCCGCAGAAAAATATTATCATGGATGTGTTTTCATTTTTCCTGAGATTTTGTGTCCTTTTGTACTCCCCCCACCTCTCAGCCTTTCTTTTTCTTTTTTTTTTATATTTTATTTATTTATATGTAGTGCTGAGGATCGAACCCAGGACCTCTCACATGCTAGGCGAGCGCTCTACCACTGAGCCAACAACCCTAGCCCATATCATGGATGTGTTTTCAGATGTTAAGGTAAAAAGGGACTGAATTTATAGTGACTACAATTAGAGCAATTTCCTGTAGCAGCACCCAGCAGTCTGAATGTAGAAATAGAAATAGGAGATACTTGGTTGACCAAGGACTGGGGTTTTAATCTGTGAAAAACCTGAAAGGATGAAAAGGTATATATATATATATATGGACAGAGAGAGAGAGAGAACTTTGGCAAAGTGATTGGAGTAATAGCCCATGGAGTCTAGACTGCCTGGGGACTGAAGTGGAGATGGGGTTGATAACATAATGTGCCCTGGGTTCAACTACAGCATGTGGGGGGTTGCGGGCAGGATGGAGCAATTGGGGAGAAAATAAGTGTAGGATATGGTAGTATGCCTGTTGTGGGAAAAGGTCATTTCACATTCAAGGAATGTGAAGCCAGGTATCATATAGATGGTTTTCATGGACAATGAAGTCTAGGATGAAGACAAGCCAGGACTGAGGAGAGAGGAAGATTAAAACAGGTTGCAAACTAGCAATAAATTATGGAGGTTGGTAAGTTACCTGAACAAGGAAGAGATATGTGGTAAAATTACCATGTATCTTCAAAAAGACAAAGCTTTTACACAAAGTAAAGGGTAATGCTTTGGAAATGGATTTGAAGAAATGAGCACTGATACCAACCAGAGTACTCAGAATGTCAGGGAATGAATAACATCTGTTTGACAAAGCTACAGAGGGTGTATTTTTCCAGAAGAGCCAGATTTCATTTAAACCAAGGAGAGGACTTGCAGTGCTGGATCTATTAATTTGCATGAGTACTAGTACATTCAGTCAGATTACCTGTGTGCTTACAATGTCCCAGACAATATGTTTTGGGTAAATAAGGAATGTTCGGTCTCTGCCCTGAGGAGCTCAGAATCTAGTGAAGTAGATGGATAAAGAACCCTAGGTCCATGGCAGTGACTAAATGCAAGCTCTGAGCAATGATTGCCAGGCCAGGAACTGGAGAAGGGGTTCAGAGAAAGCTTTTTAGGTATGGTGATTGAACATGAACAAATTGGGGGATAAAATAAACAAGGAACTGGGAATCTAGGCAAAAGCACAGAATAGCTAATAAGACAACAAGGTTGAAAGGTGTGAGAGAAATGTAAGTATTTTTGTTTGTTTCTTTCTTTCTTGAAATACCATGGATTGAACTCAAAGCCTTGCACATGCTCGGCAAACACTATTAGAGCTACATCCCCAGTGTATAAGTAGCTCTTATTGTTAGGGTCTTCAATATGAGGAAAGTAGAGGTGAGCATCATATCTTGGAGGGCTTTGTAGCCCTTTTTTTGGATAGCCTTTGAAAAGGTTCCAGGGAAAAGAGTGAAAAAGATAATAAGTAGGTAAATGCCAACAAGATGGATGGACATAAAGGGTTCATCTTACAAAAGTTACCTTCCCATTTGTAGGGGTTCTAACAAGATTAAGTAATAGCTTCCTATATCTTCTTGAAGGAAGGAGGAAGTAGGGGGAAACTTACCATCAAATTCTCCACTTGGAACAGTATTCAGCCACTTTGCTCTGTATTTTTTTTAGTACCCAGAACCTTTATGGACTTCAGCTTTTGGCCTCCAGTTTGGTACTGTGTACTCTAGTGTGCTCAATTAACAGCTATTTGAACCTGAATCAGTTTATTCCAATCCTCATATTTTTGAATTTGAAAAGGAAACAGCACATTCTATTTAGAATTTGGAATACTGAATTCATAAATAGGTATGAATGTCTGAGAGCCTTCTCTCACATTGTTTTTCTTTTGTGTTTTAGCAGTAGTGTTTAACAGTAGTTTTTTTTTTTTTTTTTTTTAAAGAGAGAGTGAGAGGGGGGGGGACAGAGAGAGAGAATTTTAACATTTATTTTTTTTTTTCTTAGTTCTCGGCAGACACAACATCTTTGTTGGTATGTGGTGCTGAGGATCGAACCCGGGCTGCACGCATGCTAGGCGAGCGCGCTACCGCTTGAGCCACATCCCCAGCCCCAACAGTAGTTTTTTTTTAAAAAATCTTTACTCCTTTTTTTATTATTGGTAATGCATTTCCATTGTTGAAAATCTGAAAAAAAAATAGAGAAGAAATGGAAGAAAATAAAAACCACCCATAATCACATCACTTAGAGATTCGTACTTTTAACATTTTTATTGAGTCTTTTGAATTCAGTGTGTGTGTATACATATCTTTAAAATAGAAATTCTTCCATAAATATACTGTTTTATGAAAAACAGTATATCATCTGGATCAGAGGAAACTGGCCTAGTAGACTTGACATTTGAGAACTTCATATTTCCTGTTGAATATGGATGACACATTTCTTCAACTTTTTAAAACTGAATTTTATGCTGCTATTTAGTCTCCTTTATGTAATATCTGGCTACCTTTGAACTAAAAAGGACTTTTGCATATTTGGAATTTTGGGTTTGTGCCTATGTGCAGATACATTACAAAGGAACTTGCATACTTGGTAAGTTTTAACAACGTTTTCCATTTGTTCTAGGGCTTACTTTCTTATCAAACATCTGTTGGTAATAAACCTGTCCCACTACTATATAATTGCGGTATTGAATACAGCAGTTATCACAAAAGTTTGGTGGTTTCTCAACCAAATACCAAGTTTCTTGAGGCAGGGGCTCAACCTTCACTTTTATATTTCAAATTCTTTGGTACAATGCTGAAATCCCAGCTATGAAACATTTTTTTTGTTTAATTGGTTAATTGCATACATGCTTGTTCTCCCTTCTCTTACACCCAATACCAGAATGACTGAAATGTTTTCCTGCCTGGGCATATGGTTATTTCCAATGTCTTTCTGTGCCCACACCCCATTTCCATCTTAATGTTCAATAAACATTTAGTGACAAGACTCTTATGTGCCAGGCATTGTTTACAATTTTGAGATAACAAAGATGAATATAAGGATATCACACTGTGAGTTCAAGCATCATTGCACATTTGCCTAAAATGTGTAAAAAAATTGAGACTGAAACATCAAATACAAGTTTATATAAACATGTTTCTTATTAAAACGTTCAAGTGCAGTAAAAACTAATCTCATGAAAGAAATAAAACTTAGGGCTGGGGATGTGGCTCAAGCGGTAGCCCGCTCACCTGGCATGCATGTAGCCCAGGTTCAATACTGAGCAACGCATACAAAGATGTTGTGTCCACCAAAAACTAAAAAATAAATATTAAAATTCTCTCTTTAAAAAAAAAAGAAATAAAAAGTATTAACCTGTCATAAATGCAATATTTTTTTTTTTTAAATTTTAACATTTATTTATTTTTTCTTAATTCTCGGCGGACACAACATCATTGTTGGTATGTGGTGCTGCTGGGGATCGAACCCGGGCCGCACGCATGCTAGGCGAGCGCGCTACCGCTTGAGCCACATCCCCAGCCCCATAAATGCAATATTTTGAATTGTCTTTCTAAACATTTGTTGAGTTTTATTTTGGTACTGGGAATTGAACCCAGAGGAGTTTTACCTCTGAGCTGCATCCTTGGTCCTTTTTATTTTTTGAGGCTGCCCTCAAACTTGGGATTTTCTTGTCTCAGTCTTCCTCCTGAGTTGCTAGGATCACAGGAGTGTGCCACTATGCCCATCAATTTTAAAAGCTCTTTTTTATTGTGCTTTTCATTCATTTTTGTATTTAATTTTCTCAAACTATGAATTTTTTAAAAAAATCAAAAGTAGGGGCTGGGGTTGTGGCTCAGTGGCAGAGCGCTCTCCCAGCATGGGTGAGGCCTTGGGTTTGATTCTGGGCACCAAATAGAGAAATTTAAAAAGAAATCAAAAGTCCACTTATGGGTTTTTTTTTTTTTACACATTTTCTATGCATTGTTTTATATCATAGTGGTTTCATTTTGATATATTCATAAAAGCATATAACAATTTTTCTCTATTTCAATCCACAGTACTATCCCCTTCCCTGTCTTCTTCCTTCTCCCTGATCTCTTTCCTCTATTCTATAGATCTTCCTTCTACCTATTCATTTTTTAATTGGTGTATTGTAATTACATATAAAAAATTGGAATGCATTGTGGTATATTCATACATGGACATAGCATAATTTGGTCAACTTTTTTCCCTAATTCTTCCCCTTTGCCTCTACACTACTGCTCTTTATTTTTAAATTTTTTTTTTTTAGTTTTTGATAGACCTTTATTTTATTTATATGTGGTGCTGAGAATCAAATCCAATGCCTCACACATGCTAGGCAAGTGCGCTACCACTGAGTCCCAGCCCCAGCCCCCTTAATTTCTTTTGTAGTCGTAGATGGACAGAATGCCTTTATTTTATTTTTTTGTGGTGCTGAGTGTTGAACCCAGTACCTCACACATGCTAGGCAAGCGCTTTCCCATTGAGCTACAGCTTCCGACCCACTTTTTTTTTTTTTTCTTTTGTACCAGGGATTGAAATCAGGGACACTCAATCACTGAGCCACATTCACAGCCCCTTTTATATTTTATTTGGAGACAAGGTCCAGCTAAGTTGCGAGGCTGGCTTTGAACTCAGGATCCTCCTGCCTCAGCTTCCCAAGCCCCTAGGATTATAGGCGTTCACAATGTCCAGCATAGATACCCCTTTTTGTTCCTCATTTCTGTATACAGCTTCCACATGTGAGGGAAAAACATTTTACCCTTGACTTTCTGTGTCCAGCTTACTTCACTTAGTGTGATTTTCTCCGTTTCTATCCATTTATCAGCAAATGACATAATTTCATTCTCTTTTATGGCTAAGTAGAACTTATTCATTCACATATTGATGGGCACTAGGATGATTCCATAACTTCGCTATTGTATACTGTGTTGCTATAAACATTGCTATGTGTATTATCACTATAGCATGCTGATTTTAAAATCTTTTGGTAAATACTAAGGAATGTGATAGGCGAGTTATAATAGACTTTTTTTGTACTGGGGATTGAACCTAGGGGTGCTTAAACACTGAGTCACATCCATATCTATCTATCTATCTAATCTATCTCATCTATCTATCTGTATGTCAGGGTCTCTCAATAGTGAAGGCTGGCCTCCAAGTTGTGATCCCTTCCTGTTTCATCCTCCTAAGTACTTGGATTATGGAGCCTGGCTATGAAGTGGTTTTGTTATTCCCCTTTCATGCCCAAGAAAATCGTGTTCGACTTAATTGTCCAAAATTACAGAGTAAATAATAGCAAAGACAGATTCTCAAAGCCAGATGATATTCAAACATATTTTATTTTTTATTTTTGGTCGTACTAGGAATTAAACCCAGGGCCTGGAGCATCCTAGGCAAATACTCTATCATTTAGCTACACTCCAGCCCTCTAACATATATTTTAAACTACCAACAGAATCAATCTTCCAATTCATATATATATATATATATATATTCAATTGTTGATAGGCCTTTATTTTATTTATTTATATGTGGTGCTGAGAATCGAACTCAGTGCCTCACACATACCAGTGCGCTACTGCTGAGACCCTGCCCCAATCTCCCAATTCTCTGAAGAATGAATAGTTCTTCAGAAAAAGCTTACACCACTGTCACTGACCATTCAATGGGCCACTTTCTCTTAAGTGCTTTAAGTAGTATAGTGTTCAAATTATGCAGAAGCCCCTGTTGGTTTCAAATGGAGAGCTAAGTGGTTTTGGCGCCCCTTTTACTGGTTCCAAGGCTAGGTGAGATGTCTCTGTGTTTCTTTCAAACAACTGACACTTGTCTCTAGAGGACCAGGCCTGGGTGTTGTCTGCTGGTGAATGCTAGCACCTGAAACCATGAATCCCAAAGGGGATGTTAGGTATGAATGAGCAGACCGATTTTTTTGTTTGTTTTGGTACCAGGGATTGGGCGCTTAACCACTGAGCCACACCCCCAGCCCTTTTTAATATTTAGTGACGGGTCTCGCTGAATTGCTTAAGGCCTCGCTAAATTGCTGAGGGTGGCTTTGAACTCTGGGTCCTTCTCCCTTAGCCTTCCGAGCTGCAGGGATTACAGGCGTGAGCAACCTCGCTCAGGCCTTTCTTAATTATGGTTCTTATTCAGCTAATTTGGCCGTCATCCCTAAAAGGCGACAAAAATGACGTCACAAGATGAATAGCAGATTCCCCCGAATACACAAGTGAAGATCCTTGCAGACATTAGCTATCTTAACAGCACTCGAAGGCGCCACTCAAAGGAATTAGCAATGGGCATTTACCAGGTGGGGCTGGCGAGAATCGGGCCAGTGTTTGAATGAGAATACAAAGCTAACCTTTGTGGTTCCCTCCAGTTCTATTCCTCTGCGAGGTCTTTCTAATGAGTCCACGCACCACAATCAATCAACTCACTAGGTCCCAGGAAGCCGGTACTTGAATCCACCACGTGGACCCCAGACTTCCTTATGCTCTGCGCTTCCGCCGGAAACGCCTTGCTATAGGAAGTGACGGAAGCTGGCCGGCCCAAGGGGGCTGTACTTTCCCTTCCTTTGCACGCGGTTGAAGAGACCGGTAGGCCTGGACGGCTTGTGCTGAATGATGCCGGGAAAACTCCGTAGTGACGCCAGTTTGGAATCAGACATGGCCATGGAAAAGTTGGAGACCCGGCGAAAGCAAAACGTGAAGGTGATACCGAGGGGCCTGGGGCAAGGCAGGACCAGGGGCCGGGCAACGAGAGCAGCGGGGCCCGGCAGTACGGGAGACATGCCGGGCTGAGAGCGTGTTGCACGCGGCGAGGACCGGCATGTCCAGGTGCCGGGCCTGGGGCTGGGCGGGCGGGAGTCCAACAGTGGCTCTTTCTCTGACCAGTGGACGCATTGTCCTCCGGACGGAGTCTGCTCTGTAGCTCCGACCTCTTATCTCACTTTTTACACGGCGGCAAGCCCAGGGAGCTTTGGCAGAGAGGCCAGATTGAGCTGGAGAGGGGATCACTGTCCCTCAGGATCCTGGGGAATTGGGAGTTCCGCATCCCATGCACGAAGTTGCAGGTCCACTTTAGGCCCCACGTTGTGCGCTCAGACTTAACTCCAGGTGTGAGCGTGCGCGAAGGGAATTATAAGTCTGGAGACTGATGCTTTAGACGAAGGAGATCTTAAATCCATCCGCGCAGCACACGTGGACGGCATGAGCAGTGACATTTTCCTTACTTGTTTTACTACAATAAGGGAGGTACAGTTTGCTCCTCGGTAAGCAGCTCAGAAGATGAGGTAATCCAACTCTTCGTATTTATTGACAAGATCGTCTGTGGAAATGTAGAGAGAGTGTGCGAACTGACCACCCTATTTCTTACATAGGCCGGCAGTGGCTGTAGTTAAAATAGCCCTGGTAGTCTTCTGATTCTTGCCTGTTGCTTAATAAGACTGAAGAGTAAGACTGAAGGTTGTGATTTAACTTGTGACCAAGTCTGTTCTGAAAGTCAGTGGAAACAAGATTGTTCCTGAATTTGTGTTGTACACGCCTTGGAATTTACTTTCTTTGCGGTTTCTGGGTCTGATAGGTGGCTCTTAAAACAGCAAATTTGTTGTGCACTGTGAGGAGGTAGTGGCTTTCATTTACTCATTCTGCATCAGTAAATGTGTTCAACTGTGGAATGGATGCTCCCTCATCAAGAGAGATATAAGCAGGGCTGGGCATGTGGCTCAATGGTAAAGTACCCCAGGGTTCCAACTCCAGTACCAAGATCTACTTCAGATCACTTAGGAAAATTCTGATTTATGATTTGGCCAATAGGAATTGCATAGTTACTAGGAAATACTCTTGACTTTTCAAGCTAATAAAACTGTTTTTATATATTTATCTTCATATAGGTAAGAAGTGGTATTAAGAAGCATACTGGGGCTGGGGTTGTGGCCCAGAGGTAGAGCGCTAGCCTACCCTGCACTGGGTTCAATCCTCAGCATCACATAAAAATAAAATGAATAAAATAAAGGTTTAAAAAATAAAGATATTGTGTTCACCTGTAACTAAAAAATATTTTTTTTAAGAATTTTTTTTTAATTATTTATTTTGTTTTAGTTATCGGCGGACACAACATCTTTGTTTTTTGTATGTGGTGCTGAGGTTCGAACCCAGGCCGCACGCATACCAGGCGAGTGGGCTACCGCTTGAGCCACATCCCCAGCCCTAAAAAATATTTTTTAAAAAAGCATACTGATTTCTACTTTAGGACAATAGGAATAACAAATGATGAAATGCCCCAAAATTATGTTCTTCATAATTGTGATCTTAAAGTGATCCAGAATTTATTTCATAAATGATGTTTTGTTTTGTATTTGTGTTTTCTTTATTAATTTTTTAGAAAGATAGAAAAGAGCAGCCAAAGTCTGATAAGACTGAAGAATGTGCAGAAGGAAAAGAAGAAACTCTTACCCCCAAAACCAAAAAAGTTAAAAACAAACCAGGGCCTTCTGAAGCTGATACAAATTCTCCTAAATCCAAAAAGGCAAAAAAGCAAGAGGAGCCTACTCAAGATGACATTATTTCTCCTAAAACCAAGAGTGCAAAAAAGAAAAAGGAAAAGGAGCCTCTTGAAAAGGAAGTTGTCTCTCCTAAAACCAAAAAAGTAATAAAAAATGAGGAACCTTCTGAAGAAGATGTGGATGCTCCTAAACCCAAGAAAATGAAGAAAGAGAAGGAAGTAAATGGAGACATTGGAGAGAAAAGTCCCAAACTAAAGAATGGATTCTCTCATTCTGAACCTGACTCCAATGAAGCTGCCAGTGAAGAAAGTAACAGTGAAATAGAGCAGGTAAAGTTGCATAGGTAGAACGTATCTTTCAATGTTTCGGAAATAGATAATGCTACACATACATCTCCTATTTTTTAATGTTATTATATTTTTTCATATATTTATTTATTTATTTTTATGGGGTGCTGGGGATTGAACCCAGTGCCTCACACATGCTAGGCAAGCACTCTACCATTGAGCTACAACCACAGCCCTGCACGTGCTGTTTTGATAGTAAAAGGAAATTTTTTATCTCAGCAATCGTTGGAGGTATCTTGAGTTGCAGGGTGAGACTTCATCTTAAAAATTACAGTGTTGAGGATCCGGGATAAAGCTCAGTTAGTAGAGTGCTTGCCTTTGGGATATAGCTCAGTTGGTAGAGGGCTTGCCTCACATGCAAAAGGCCATGGGTTCAATCCCAGCACCACACACACAAAAAAAGTCTTAAATAAATCTTTTTGTTTAGGCCATTAAGTAATTTTGAGTTGAATAGGATTAAATGTCCTTTTAGAACTCAGTTCTTTCACCCTTCAGAAACTTAGTCGTGAAAGAAAAATTGTGGGCTGGTCATGTGGCTCAGTAGTAGAGTGTTTGTCTAACATGCCCAAGGCCCTGGATTTAATCCCCAGCATCACAGAAAAATCCTAACATGTTTTCTGTTTGCCATAGGTTATGATCACAATTGACAGTTTTCCCCCTAATTGTAAGGTGAAAAAAATTTAGGAAATGGACAAATTTATCTGAGGAGGGGAGGGAGCTTCCTAGAATTTTAGCATTCATTCATTCAGTTAACACTGAATGCTTTTCAGATACAGAGGCAACCTGTTGTTAAATTTTGATGTTTCCTTATGGTACAATGTATTTAGGATTGTACCTTATGCAGTCTTGTATCCTGCTCTTTCTACTTTATATAAGAATTTTTCATTATTTTTAAATATTTAAAGTTTAATGGCTACATAACCTCTTGCAAATGTTTATAAATTTATTTAATATCTATTTATTTGTGGTGCTGAGGATTGAACCCAAGGCCTCAAACATGCTAGGCAAACACTCTACCGCTGAGCCACAACCCCAATCCCCTTAAAAAGTTGTTTTTGAAGAGATTCTTTTGTTTCTTTCTCAGAAGACTTCTGTATTAACTTTTATGTGAGTTATGATTTCTTTCTGTGGTCCTTGACAGGAAATACCTGTGGAACAAAAAGAAGGCGCTTTCTCTAATTTTCCCATATCTGAAGAGACTATTAAGCTTCTCAAAGGTAATATTCTCGGAAATATTACATAATGTCAGAACATATTATTCAGAAGCACTACATTTTTGTTGGATGAACCAGGATGTGATTTTATTTTGGGACAATATAGGCAATCAGATAATGAAGTAGACCAGTATATTCATGGTAGGACTATGGTAGTGATAGTCTTGGCTGCCTCTAATAAGTGGTTAAAATTTACCCTTTACTCAGAAGTATAATGGCTGACACTGCTGATTAATGCCATGTTCAGTTTTCCTTTTCATCTTCTGCTTGAAGTATCTCTAGGTTAATACCAGATTGATTCAGAATTTATCTTAACATTCTGCCTATGAATTGCTGGGTAGTCTTAGATGCTCCACAAAGTGTTTTCTGAATCAGTTGCAGCACAGTCTGGATTGCAAAGTGTTCGATTTTTTTCAGGCTCACAAGATTATCTGACAAGTGACTTGCTCTCTTAATATATCAAAAATTTATTATAATTTGATGAGTTAAAAGTTTGCAAATATTTTCCAGATTCTTCATTATCAGAATATATTTGAGCCTGACTTTGTAGTTGTTGACCAAAAGGTAAAATTCATCAATTCTGTAGGACTAGAAATATTGATTATGTTTCAGTCTTTGGTTATCCTGGTATTTTAAGAATTATAGTGTCAGCATTAGAAGTATAGCTCAGTAGCAGATTGCATATTTAGATGGCAAAAGGCCCTGGGTTTAAGCCCCACCCTGCCAAAACCCCACCCTGTTGGCTAATGTGATTTGTTTGTTCATAGCCCGTGGAGTGACCTTCCTGTTTCCTATACAAGCAAAGACGTTTCACCATGTCTATAGTGGGAAGGACTTAATTGCACAGGCGCGGACAGGAACTGGGAAGACATTCTCCTTTGCCATCCCTCTGATTGAGAAACTTCAGAGTGAGCTGCAAGATAGGAAAAGAGGCCGTCCCCCTCAGGTAACTCTTAAGTGGACATCAGCCTCCAAGACAGCGCAGGACAAATCTCTCTGGGCATGGTTTACATATCCAACTATTTTTATTGGATTCACCTTAAAGCCAACCATTGTGTTTACTATTAATCTTTATCTGAAGGTAAATCAGGCCGATTCTTTTTAAGACTATTATTCATAAACCCTTTATATTTGAGATTTATACTCTGTCCCATGATTGTGATCACCAGTAACATTAATATTCATTATACTCCTTTTACTTATTTATTTATTTTTAGTTATGCATGGCACAGTATCTTTATTTTGTTTTTTATTTTAATGTGGTGCTGAGGATCGAATCCAGTGCCTCACATATGCGAGGCAATCGCTCTGTCATTGAGCCACAACCCCAGCCCATCATCATACTCTTTTTAAACTATAGATTGTGCCTGGAGTTCACACATTTGGTTAAGTGTCTTTGACATTGGATGGATAAAGTATTTTTAGTAGAAGAACTTTTACTACAGGTTCTTGTGCCAGACTGCTTGAGTTTAAATAATCTAGATTCTGTCTCTAACTACGCTTTTGGTTTCAATTAAGTAATTTATACTCTAGTGTCTACCTCAAAAGGCTATTATGAGAATGAGATCAGAATAACGTAAAGTACTTGGTAGAGCATAAGTCATAGGAAAAGCAAAAGTATCAGCTAATGGTATCGTCATCATCATCCTCAGTATAGCTTCGTCTTCATATCATTATTTTCCTGGATTGCTGTTTTATGAAACTTCCTATAGTTCCTTCCTGTATCCACTTCTTTTTTTATTTATTTTTGGTACAAGATATCCACTTCTTTTTTTAATTTATTTTTGGTACAAGAGATTGACCCAGGGGCACTTAATCACTGAGTCATATCCCTAACCCTTATTATTTTTTATTTTGAGACAGAGTCTCACAAAGTTGCTTAGGGCTTTGCTAAGTTTCTGAGGCTGGCTCTAAAATTTAAGATTTTCCTGCTTTAGCATCCTGAGTTGCTGGGATTACTGGTGTGCGCCACCACACCCAGCTTCTATTTCTCTTCTGACTGGTGATCACAAACTTCGAAGTATATTTGTCTGGAACCATAGTTATAATTTTTTTTTTTTTTTTTTTTTTGTACCAGGGGCATTTAACCACTAAACCACATCCAACCCTTTTTTTTATTTTAGAGACAGGGTCTCACGAGTTGCTGAGGCTGGCATTGAACTCATGGTCCTCCTGTCTTTTTTTTTAAATTATTATTATTATTATTTTTAATATTTATTTGTAGATGAACACACAGTATCTTTATTTGTTTTTATGTGGTGCTGAGGATGGAACCTAGTGCCTCCACATGCTAGATAAGCACTTTACCACTGAGTTATAGCCCCAGCCCTGATCCTCCTATCTTTCCCTCCCTCCCAAGCTGTTGGGATTATAGGCGTGTGCCACCACACCCAGCTCCATAGTTAGAATTTTTATAATATATTGGAAAGCACATAATAGATGTTTTTAAAATATATCAAAAATTCAATAGTAAGTTGACCTTTCAGTTGGATTCCCAAGTGATAAATAATACACATTACTTTGAAATCAATGAGGTCTTTTTCTTTCAGGTTCTGGTTCTTGCACCTACAAGGGAGTTGGCAAGTCAAGTAAGCAGAGACTTCAGTAACATCACAAAAAAGCTTTCAGTGGCCTGTTTTTATGGTGGAACTCCATATGGAGGTCAAAGTAAGTAAATTCAAAAGCAGGAGAAGGAATATGTCATCCATTATTTTTGATGCCATGATGGGATTCATATCTGTCTTTTCTCCCTGGTCTAGTCATTTATGGTGTTTGTCTTTTGCCATTTTTGTTTAAAGATGGTCAAAAATATGTTTCTGAGTAATGATGGGTAAATTCTATATATGGTTCTTAGGACTTTTGCATTACCTACCAATATTTACATAAGGATTACAAAGGTAAAATGTTGAGGGCCGGGGATATAGCTCAGTTGGTAGTGTGCTTGCCTTGTATGCCCAAGGCCCTGGGTTTGATCCCCAGCACCACAAAAAATAAATAAATAAAAACCAAAAGTAACTTGTTGAAATCAAGAGGACAGAATCGGTAGGGTCCTAGGAATTAGAAAGTCAAAATTTGAGGTCATTCTATTTTCTATCAGTCTATGCATCCTTCTTGTTTGTTTTCTTTCCTGAAGGGGGACTGACTTTCTAGGGACCCCAGGACCTAATAGCCCTTGCTTTAACAGTTCATCACTTCCCAGTTAAGACCTTGCAGCTTGAATATGTAGAGTATATATGAGGGGATTTAAGGCATTAAAAAATCTCAGTATTGGCACATAAAACTTCTGATTATTTCTTTCCAACTTTGGTAGAATGAATGTAAACATTGGCATCAGAAAGTCATTTGAATCTAGACTCTGCTCAGTGAGTAGTTTTGTGACTTTATGCTCAAGTTGCTTAATTTTTTAATGCTTTACTTTCCTTATCTATAGAATAGGTTAATAAACCTACCTTTCAGGGATATTATGAGAATTAAGTTGTATAAAATGTGTAAAGTGCCTAGTATGATCCCTAAACTATACTGGAAACTTGAGAAGGAGAGTGGGATCTGGGGCAGAGTGTTTGCCTAGTTCTTTGCCTTTATGGTGGGAGGACCTCATCCCAGTTACAAGAAATGCTTCGATTTCCCCAGATGTTTCTGTACACTATAAGAATGTTTGAAATTCTACTGTTTTATCCTCCCTGTACCTGTTTACCTTATAGAAAGTTCTTAGTTAAGATTCTTATCTCCACTCTATGTAACCGTGACACTTTCTGCTAGCCGAGCAAGTCATTCTTTCCTGGTGCTACCATCCCCCAGTGGTGCACTTTCCAGTTGTATAACTTAATATAACGGACTGTCACTTCTTACATGCTTTTCTCTGCTGTATCAGAAGCACCTTGAGTGTCTCTGTAGCTGCCTAATCAGTATTTGTAGCATATTACTTTGTACTATCTAATCAGTATTTTTGAATGGAAATGCATTTAAATGGTACCCCAGAATGATAAAATGATTTTCTTTAAAAATACAGCCAATCTTTTCTTTGGTGTTCTTTATAGTCGAAAAAATGCGGAATGGGATTGATATCCTGGTTGGGACGCCAGGTCGTATCAAAGACCACCTACAGAATGGCAAGCTAGATCTCTCCAAACTTAAACATGTTGTCCTGGATGAAGTTGACCAGATGTTGGATATGGGTTTTGCTGATCAAGTAGAAGAGATTTTATGTGTGGCATACAAGAAAGGTAAACCCCAGAGTTGAAGAACTGATAAAAAGGACCTGAGGAAGGGTGGTGATGATGTAATCTTCTAAGAGATAAATGAAATTTTAGGGAATTTCAAGGGGATTTATTTTATTCGGGAAAATGAGCAGTTTATAAATAATCATGATTTATCACATAATTGCAATGAGAGAAAGTTAAAAGAAAAATTATATATTCTATCAATTCTGTGTACTTTGCTTTTGGTGTATTCCAGGTATTCTGTATGTTATTGTGTGTATGTGTGCAAGTGCCAATTGTAATCTTAACCTTATGTGTTAACTCAGCATAACAGCCACCTGCATGGAAACACATGCCTATAATTCCTGCTACTCAGGAACCTGAGGCAGGAAGATTGCAAGTTCAAAGCCAGGCTTAGCAACTTAGCAAGCCCCTAAGCAATTTAGTGAGACCCTGTGTCAAAATATAAAAAGGCTGGGGATATAGCTCAGTGGTATAGAGTGTGTTCCATTCCCTCTACTGGAAAAGGAAAAGAAAAAAAAAATTCTTCTTACTTAGAATCACTTCTACAGATTTTCTCGGACCTCAATATCTGGAATTAGTTCTTTAGGATAGATTTCCAAAAGTAGAATTATTGCCTTAAAAGTTATAAATAGTTCATGCTTTTCAATATACATTGCCGAATTGCTCTTCAAGAAGATTCTGCCAGCTTTATACCACTATTCGAAATGTTTGTGAATGCAGTGATACTCTTAAGGGAAACAAAAATTAATAGGTGATCTCAAGAAACGAATAAATGTGAATTCAAAATTGATAAAATATTAAGCAAATATCAAGGAGTATATAAATGTGTATAGAATCTCTTGCAGTTTTTGAACAGCTTATTTAGATAATTATTCTGTTGGTTACTACTCTTTTTTAGTTGATAAATTTCACTATATCGGAAAAATTTGTTTCATGATTCTTAAAGGCCAATGATTAGAAAAACAATACGTTTAAAGTGCTTTAATTGAGAGCCTTTACATAAAGAGCCTTTACATAAATTATTCCAGTAGCATTTCTTTGTGTGTTGGAAATTTTTTTTATATTGTGTTTTTACTGCATGGCTAGACTCAAATAATTTCTGATGAATGTTGATACAGCATGGAAGTATTAGGTGAGGTAAAATACTGTGTAGGCTTGTTTGGATTTTTCATAATGACTTTTTTTTCCCCCCCAAAGATTCTGAAGACAATCCCCAAACATTGCTTTTTTCTGCAACATGCCCTCATTGGGTATTTAATGTTGCTAAGAAATACATGAAATCTACATATGAACAGGTGGACCTGATTGGTAAAAAGACTCAGAAAACAGCAATAACTGTGGAGGTAAATGATTCATTTAGTTGCCGGAATTGGTATAAAATTGTCTGTAATTTGTTTCTTTTCTGATAATATTAGGACTGCCAAATATAGTTTCTCTCCAGGTAAATGTCAAATCTATGTGAAAAGTCAAGTAAAGATATATTTCTACTTGAGTTGCATATCGTTTTCTGTATTCTCTAAATTTCATCATCTTGTAGACTAATTTCAGAATCATTTGGACCCTAAAGTGTTTGAATTATGTAAACAAAGAAATTACACTTAGAATTTCAATACTAGAGGGCAACAGAGAATACGGATGTTTTATTCTAAAGCTGTTTTCATCTTAGGGTCCGGTACCTAGATGAATTCATTTCACCCAAGGAATATAGTAGTGCAGTAACTGACTACAGATTGTATTTTAAAACAGATGAAAAAACAAAACATACAGAAACTTTAAAAAATTCTCAATTATATGGCTTACTGTAGGAATCTGTGTAATTGCTTTTTTTCCCCCTTTATTTTCACTTAAGTAAGAAAACAGAAGCCAGGTCCTCTCTGGAGAGAATGGAGAGGCAGAGGAGAACAGACCATGTTGCTCTTAATTTTAATGGTTTAGTTATTTTTTTTTTTTTCCTTAGCAGTGGTGGCAGTAATCTGCTTGGTTAGGCTTAAGCCCTTGTTCCAATACCAAGACGTTAGACCTTGGTATTGAGCATGACATTTGAGGTTCCAGCAATCCTACTAAATAGATTTTTTTTTCTTCCTCTCTTAAATAGCATCTAGCTATCAAGTGCCACTGGACTCAGAGGGCAGCAGTTATTGGAGATGTGATCCGAGTATATAGTGGTCACCAAGGGCGTACTATCATCTTCTGTGAAACCAAGAAAGAAGCCCAGGAGCTGTCACAGAATGCATCTATAAAGCAGGTTAGTCCCTCTCATGCCTGCAAAGCTAGAGTCATCAACAAATCTTCACTTTGGGCATATCTGCTCTTAGTCTGTCCATTTATCTAATGACTTCCAAGTTTATTTTAGGTCAGAAGTAAGAGGGTACTTTTCTCAAGAATGGTCAGGTTATCTATCCATCCATGTTAGAGCTTATCTAATGTTATCAGTCTCGTCAAATAGAGAGGATAGGATGACTCAAACCTAAAACTACTCTGACAAAAATAGGTGTGATCTCTGGTTTGGTGTTCCTAACCCTGATGTGTATATTTAAATATAGTCAATTTAATGAGAGAGGATTTGAAAATAATTTGGAGGTTCCTCCATGTAAGAAGATATATGTTTTCCCCTTTATTATATTTTCAGCAGGAGTATTATTAAAATATTAGCTTTTACAAACCTAGTTGAGGATGTATTAGTGGAGCTAGTTTTCTTAAGCCAGTTTATTTCTTCTGCAGGATGCCCAGTCATTGCATGGAGACATTCCACAGAAGCAAAGGGAAATCACCTTGAAGGGTTTTAGAAATGGTGATTTTGGAGTTTTGGTAGCCACCAATGTTGCTGCACGTGGGTTAGATATCCCTGAGGTTGATTTGGTTGTACAAAGCTCTCCACCAAAGGTATGTATTTTATACATAGGTTTTGTTACTTGCATGTGCTTATAATAATTAATCTTTTCAGTGCCAGGATGCTGTGGTGAGTTGAAAAATAAAGCCTATTATTTGAAACTCTTTTCTGTACAATTGACTTCTGAGTGGAAGAACAGTCAGTGGGCAGAGGTTGGAATGATAATTTCTGGTTAGACAGGGAAATTCTGAGAGACTTCATGGAGGTAGTACAGTTTTGAACAGGATCTTGAAATTGATAGAAGATTTAGATGGGGTAGTTGTAGAATACATAAATGCATGAGCTTGAAGAGGACTAAAGAGAAAAGGCCTGGAGGGAGACATCAACCTCTGTGTTAGAACTACTGAGGTTTGTGAGTTATAGAACCTTTTGTTTATGTGTTGTGGATAGTGCTTATGTAAATAAAAGTCTAAAATCTGTTCCACTTGCCTCCATTACTTTCCCTCAAATTGTCAAATGTCTTTTAATTAAAGGTTGTTTAAACTGATGGAAAAACAAAACAAAACCCCGATTACTATGAATTCACTACTTCTTAAAAAAGGAAATCCCTTAAGTGTGACATAAATCTTGTTTCATGAACCTGTAGACTTGTGCTGTGCAGTATGGTAGCCACTAGTCATGCATCTGTTAAACATTTGAAATGCAACTAGTATGGATTTGTATATGTTGTAAGTGTAAAATACACACTGGACTTTCAAAAACTTTATTAAAATTTTGAAGGCTTATGAAAAAGGATATAAAATATCTTGTTAATTTGTACATAGATAAAATATTGAAATAAGACTTGGATATATTAAATTAAATATTTTAAGTTAAATATTCTATTTTACTTTAGTTGTGGTACTTAAAAACTGGAAATACACATATGCCTCTTGGAAAAAGCACTGTTTTACACAGGGTTTTTAATTGTCTCAGGTGTTTGGTTTGAAGTGCTAAGGGACCTCCTCCCTTATGTCCCAGGCACACCTTACTTGCTAGCTCTTGTTGTAGAGACATAGTATTCTCAGGTGTTTGGTTTTTTTGTTGTTGTTGTGTTACTTGTGTGTTTTACTTCAATAGGATGTAGAGTCCTACATTCACCGTTCTGGGCGGACGGGTAGAGCTGGAAGGACAGGAGTTTGCATCTGCTTCTATCAACACAAGGAAGAATATCAATTAGTACAAGTGGAGCAAAAAGCGGTAAAGCTATTTTCCTAGCTTTCATTTAGTAGATAACATTGTTAATCTTTTGACTTCAATTTTCATTTCAAATTATTATTTTTCTTCTAGCATATGACCCTGACTGAAAGCTTGTTAAGTATATGTTGTTTTACGTTGTCCTACAAAGCCCATTTTGAAATAATTTTGTATTTGAAAGCAGGAGTTTCTGGCTGGGGATGTGGCTCAAGCGGTAACTGCACTCGCCTGGCATGCGCGGGGCGCTGGGTTCAATCCTCAGCACCATATAAAATAAAATAAAGACGCGACGCGTGTCCACCAAAAACTGAAAAAATAAATATTTAAAAATTCTTTCTCTCTATCTCTCTCTCTGATGTTTGAAAAGCATTTTTTGGATTATGAACATTAGAAATATTTGATCAGGTATAGAAATTGCTTGAAAACAAAAGAATTGACGTGGCTGTTGTCAAAAGGATAAAGGGAGAGGAGAGGCTAATTTCCTTATAGAATTTTATTTTATTTATATGTTTGAGGGTGGGCAAGGCAAACCCTTACAACTGGCAGAAGGGCATGCTATGGAACCTGGCTAGCAAGGTCATCTGGGTGGACAGTCCACCTGCTTATATCTTGAGCCTAACGCAATGTTTCCCTTCACTCTAATTGAAGGTAGAATTTTAATAATGTATATAGAACTTTCTCCTCCAGGAGATGAAGCTTGACCTCTTTCTCCTTGAGTGGACTACACTTCATGACTGAGTAGTAAATGACTTACAAAGAATAGAGTATGTGTCAGGCACCAGTGCACTCTTCTGTAATCCCAGTGACTTGGTAGGCTGGAGCAGAAGGGTCACAGTTTGGAGGTCAACCTCTACAGTGTAGTGAGACCTTGTGACGGACTAGAATGTAGCTCAGTGGTAAAGTGTCCCTGGGTTCCATAATGGAGGAAGTTGAAGACTTTTTGTCTTGTACTTGGAATTGAACATGGAAGGGCTCTTATCACTGAGCTACATCCCCAGCCTTTTTTAAATTTTGAGACAGGGTCTTACTAAGTTAGTAAAGCTGCCCTCAAATTTGGCATTTCTCTTACTTCAGCCTCATAGTAGTTGAGATTATAGGCATGCCAACTCCATGTCCAACTTTAGGAGTTGGAGTTTTACAATGGAGAATCTAGCAAACATTTCCTAAGCCAGGGAATCTCAAGTTGAGGGCTATTCTATAAAAGAATTCTTTAAAGCTGTTAAAGTCATGGAAAACCAGGAAAGATAGGCATGGAATAAAGTCTAGGATTCAGTTAATAGTAATTTTATCAATGTTGGTTTCTTAGTTCTTAAAAATGTGCCATAGTAACATAAAATGTTAGCAATGGTAGGAATTTGGTGGGTGGTATACAAGAACTTTGTAACTTTTTTTTTAACATCAGTTGTTAATAGGCCTTTATTTTATTTTATTTATATGTGGTGCTGAGAATTGAACTTGGTGCCTCACACATGCTAGTCATCCTTTGTAACTTTTTTTTGTTTTCTGTTTAATACTTTGATTTGGTAGGTATAAAAAATTATGGAGCTACTTAATAATGGAAACAAGTGATGATCATGTTAAACTATGGATTGTTTTCTTACAGGGAATTAAATTTAAACGAATAGGTGTTCCTTCTGCAACAGAAATAATAAAAGCTTCCAGCAAAGATGCCATCAGGTATGTTCCCTACCCTCACTGTGGACTGTGTAGTGTTTGTTGTGTGTATTGAATATGAATGCCTTTGTGTAGTACCTCTGGAATTTGGCCTTTTAAAATTTGTTTTTATTTTCTGTAGTTCTGAATATTAACGCACACACATACACACACACAAACAGAGTACTGGGGATTAAACCCAGGGGTACCCACTGACATACATTCCCCAACTCTTATTTTTAAGACAGGGTCTCACCAAGTTTCCCAGGCTGGCCTTGAACTTGCAGTACTCTTGGCTCAGCCTCCCACATCACTGTGATTGTAGGCATGTGTCATCATGCCCAGCTTTTACCCATTATTTTAACAAATTTCATAACCTTATTTAAGGAATGATAACTGAGATATGGTGTAGGTGCTTCATGTCCAGTTACTGATTAGATTTGATTACAGGTTATATTCTATATCTTCATTAATTATTATCCCATTTGGTAGAATAAAACTTTTTTTTGGTGGAGGTGGTAGGAATTGAACCTAGGACCTCACACTTGCTAGGCAAGTGCTGTACTGCTGAGCTAAATCATCAGCCCTGAAAACTGATTATTTCTTTAGGTTCTAGTAGATATCTAGATAGTAAGGATTGGGTAAACTAACGGTGTTTGTCAGTGGAGATATTACTGGCATTGAAAACAAAGAGTGTATTTATATGAGATTGTTCTACAAACTGAAGGATATTTAGCTGTTTAGAATTCCTGACTGTTTCTCCTGTGCATCATATGCATGGGGTAAGTAGGGCTGGCATTATGAAAACCATTTTCCATTTCCTGGGCACAGAGTACTCAGTGGTGTGTCTCTTGCCTAGCATGCAAGAGGCCCTGGGTTCAAATCCGTAGCATTATGAAAAGGAAGAGCCCACAACAAAATGATGAGTAGCTATACTATTGCAGCATCAGACTGGTGGCTGGGTGGTATTCAAATATGGTTTAATAGTGCTTCAGGATTCAATAAACTGAAGTTAATTTAGATAAATAAATGAGGATGAACGTATAAAATGATTTCCTGCAGACCTTAATGGTGACAGGATATTTCATTAAGAGAGTAGTGGAACTGACCATCATATTTTGCTTTAAAGAACAGTTGATAAGAGGGGATAGATTCTACGTGAACCATACCCAAAAGAGATTATTTGGGGCAGAGGTGAGGGGAGGAAAGAATGGGCAGAGAAATAATTGTATAGTTGAAATCTATATATGCAGTTGTCTTCAAAGTATTTGTGAGTTTGATTAGACCTGAAATATACAATTTAAGAATTATTTATCCATTGTAATTTTATTTTATTTAATTAATTAATTTATTTATTTAAAGAGAGAGAGAGATAGAGAGAATTTTTAATATTTATTTTTTAGTTCTCGGCGGATACAACATCTTTGTTGGTATGTGGTGCTGAGGATCGAACCCGGGCCGCACGCATGCCAGGAGAGCGTGCTACCGCTTGAGCCACATCCCCAGCCCTATCCATTGTAATTTTAAAAATAGAAACCATCATGACTAAAAGACATGCTTGCCAGGTGCAGTGGTGCATGCCTGTGATCCCAGCAACTCAGGAGGCTAAGGCAGAGGATAATGAGTTCAAAGCCAGTCTCAGCAACCTTAGTGAGGTACTTAGCAACTCAGTGAGACCCGTCCCTAATAAACTATTAAAAAAGGTCTGAGGATGTGATTAAGCACCCCTGGGTTCAATCCCCAGTACCCCCCCCCAAAAAAAAAAGCCCTAAAGATCAGCTTATTAATGATAGCTTGGGAAAGTTCAGAAAATGAAAAGATTTTTAACTCAATATTTTTCAAAATTATTTTTAGCTTCATCAATTTAAACCTGATTTGGGTACAGGCAGGTGCTACACTACACACCTACAATCTCAGCACCTCAGAAAGTTGGGGCAGAAGGATTGAAAGTTTTGAGGCAAGCCTCAGAAACTGAAAATTTATAAATTTTTATAAATCTCAAAATTTATAAAAAAGAGCTGGGGATGTAGCTCAGTGGTAACATGCTCCTTGGTTCAGTCCTCAGTTCCAAAAAAAAAAAGAAAAAGAAAGAAATGAATAATGTTTATTGGGGGAAAAGGTATCACATTATTTATCATCGTTTTTAATGGCAATATGGCATTTTATTGCATTAACATTTTTCTTATCTGTATATGAGTAGACCATATTGATGCACATTTTCAAATTCTTTATACTTTCAGCATATTGTCAATCACACTATGCTGTTACTTGTAACTTTTCTCCTAACCAATGTACTCTCAATCAAATCACAGGCTTTTAGACTCTGTCCCTCCTACTGCCATTAACCACTTCAAGGAGTCCGCCCAGAAGCTGATAGAGGAGAAGGGAGCCGTGGAGGCTTTAGCAGCAGCTCTGGCACATATTTCAGGTGCCACATCAGTAGATCAACGCTCCTTGATCAATTCAGAAGCGGTATTTCTGATACCTTGTATTTGGGGTTTTAGTAGGATTTGAAAGGGTTCATTTAAACTTGCTAGTTTTTGCTGTCTTGTAAAAGTAGGAAACTATTAACTGCATTTTACCTTTTTCTAATTGAAAATGTACATTCAGGTCCATAGAAACAAAATAAATTAACGTTGTTTGTCAGTGATTGGGTGGAGGGAGAAATGGCAAAGACTGAGATTAATGGGCATGAGATTCTTTTTGGGGTGATGAAATGTTCTAGAATTGTAAATAGTGATAATAGTTGCAAACTTTGAATTTACTAAAAAACCCACTGCATTTTATACTTAAAATGTGAATTTTGTGGTATATGAATAGTATCTTAATTCTTTTAATTCCTTATGAGCCCAAACATATACACATAAATACAATATAATTTAGCCAGGATATCTAGAAACTTTTTAGAAAGCTTTTATGCTTTTATTTTCCTTTTATAAGTTGAAGTTTTAAAATTTTTATTAAATATAGATTCACGTGTAGTTGTGAGAAATAATATGTGGTCCTCTATACACTGCCCAGTTTCCCCCAGTGGTTATATTTTAGAAAACTATGTTACCATAATAAAGATGTTGACATGATTTAATGAATCAATCTTATTAAGAGACTGACTCTGGAATCTCTAGGGGACAGTGTATACTTTTTTTAGAGGGAACTTTGAGAAATACTTTAGAATATAAGGGTAAATGTTTATGATGTAGATTTGGTTTTTGAGACTTAATTTTGTTCCCCTTTCTTCCATAAGGGTTTTGTGACCATGATCTTGAGGTGCTCAATTGAAATGCCGAATATTAGTTATGCTTGGAAAGAACTAAAAGAACAACTGGGCGAGGATATTGATTCCAAAGTGAAGGGAATGGTCTTTCTGAAAGGAAAGCTGGTAAGGCTGGGCCCTTTCTCAGACTTAACTTTGGTTCAGTAGCTGAATGTGGGCAGTAAAACAGAATGATGTCTTCTTGGTGTTCTGTGAGGAGGCTGCCTTTATTTTTTCACTCTGTGTCTGCACTGACCCCTGCAATTGGGAGGCTCTTAGTTACTGCAACTAACTACCCATGTCTATGTTTCCAGCCCAAACCATTCTGTACACCATGCCAGCCAAAAAGATCAAATTACTGCACTGATAACTTCACATGGCTTAATTAACTAACTAATTCAGCATATTTCCTTTTTTGGTGGTAGTGGGGATGGGATTCAATTTACATGCTATGCAAGCACTGAGCTAAGCCAGCCTACCCTCCCCCGCCCCCCCCTTTTTATATCTTTTTTTTGAGACAATGTCTCACTAAATTACTGAGGCTGGCTTCTAATTTGCAATCCTCCTATCTCAATCTCCTGAGAATCTGGGATTACAGGTATGCACCAACATGCCTAGCTTTAGTTCATATTCTTGAATTCAGGTTCAAAATTTGAATTTTTGCTGGGTATAGTGGTGCACACCTATAGCCTCAGCAACTTCGTGAGGCCCTTACCAACCTAGTGAAATTCTGTCTCAAAATAAAAAATAATAAGGGATAGGGATGTTGCTCAGTGGTTAAGTGACCCTTAGCCAATCCCTGGCGCAATAAATAGATAGATAGTTCTTGCCTGCCAAACCTAGAAAACTTCATTTTTCCTTTGTGGGAAAATGAGTGAAAGGCACAGATTTATTATGAAGATAGTTTTAACTGGAATCCTAAAGAGCCTCAGGTTTCCAAAGGTGCACTGCTGGTAAAAGAAATCATATTTACCCCAATGGTATGTGGAGTTGCTTGAGGTAAACAGTGTGATCAAACGGGCAGTGAGCTGTCTTCAGGTTAAGGTAAACCTGCCCTGGTTACCGGTTTCAGCTCCATCATATCATCCCCAACACCCTTTACTCTGGCTGTGCCAAGTACACCATGCTGTCTTCATTCATGAGTGAAGACTGAGCCCCTACTTTTCCAGTATTTTACTCTCCACAGTGTCCCTTAAAATTCCCTGTAAAGCTTTGCAGGCAGAGTTAGGGGCATCATTATCTGTACTTCAGAGTTCTTAGGACATATTATTTATTTAGGTAATTTTTGCCTTGCTGTCATTTGCTTTCTGTCTGAAATCCTCAAGAGCACTGTGATCTACACAGTGGTAAAAATATGCTTTCTGATCGTCTGTACCCCATTCGATGATATTGAACTCTAAACACTAAGTAAGTATGTGAATGGAGAGTCCCATGATTGACAGAATCCATCAGTACCTAATGATACTCGTGTTAGCATTGGGCGAACTGCTGGGCAAAAGGGGTGCTTCTGATAAAATCCTGTAGTTAAAAGACAATAGGGAGAGGAGTGACTGTCTGTTACAGGGTAGTTTGACAGGCTTGTAAGTAACTTCCCTTGGAGAGGAGGGCACTTACAATCAAAGATCTTATCCTACAGCATTAACTTTTTCATCCTCTTTCACAGGTGGCTAAATTATGAAAAACTAGAAAATTAACAGAAGTTTTTGTTGTTGTTGTTTATTTGTTTTGTTTTGTTTCTTGCTCTTAGTTTGGTCATTCTAAATAGCTCTCAGTGCTTTTCTAATGGCAGGCAGTAAAGTGTAATGGTTTTTAAGCCCTACACACCGTATTTTAAATACCTGCCCCACTTAAGTTGTTGTGGGGCTTTACACGAGTCAATCAGACTCTCCAATTTTGTTTCTTCAGCTATAAAATATAGCTAGTAGCCTTTCTGTACCATCCCACAAGGTCCAACTTAACTCTAAAGTAGTTGAGAGGTACTAGCCAAGAATATATCTACAGTCAAGAAGTTCCAAATTGTTTTGAGTTCTTCTTAACTGTTCCTTGGCTTTCTGCTTTTGTGTTTTGGGTAGCTGTAGTGTATTAGACTAAAGTTCATTTAAAATTAATATCTGAAAGCTGGTATATGCCTGGGAGGCTGAGGCAGGAGAATCATGAGTTCAAGGTCAGCCTCACCCTTTTTCTAAAACTGGGTGAGTTTTATTATTATTTTCTTTGCAATACCTTGTATTTATGGTATCACTTAGTGTGTATTGGTTATATTAACTTATATTTTCTTTGATTTCTAGGGTGTTTGTTTTGATGTCCCTACTGCAGCAGTCACAGAAATACAGGTATTTTCTCTTGGACTTTTTGTTTTTACAGTACTGGAGGTTGAACCCAGGGCTTTACACATGCTCAGCAAGTGCTCCAACACTGAACTATACCTTCCCCCCTTTCTCCTGGACATTTTAAAGTTAATATACATAAGCTGGGAAGTGTTCATTGTGAAAATACAGAATGATAGGGTGGCGGACACGACAGCTCTGGTCTCTTATCAAAAGACAGTTGAGAATTACATTTGGTACTTTTTTCTCCTGTCCTTTTTATTCTCACATTTGTTGTTGAGCCTGCCTTTTTTCCTTTCTAGAGTTGTGAGTGATGTCCAGGCCCTCCCCACCCACGTTATACATGTTTTCATACACATTTTAACTTGAGAGATGGATTTGTAAATGTGCATTTGTTTTATTACCCCTGACAGCTAGAGACCAAGTAGAGGTGAAATGAAAAAATGATGCAGTGAGGAGGTTCCACGTGAAAATTATCTTCTAGTGGCATGTGGGCTGAGAGTCAGTATTAGGAACAATGGCCTTTTAACACTTATGTTATCAACCTAGTTGTTTGTTGGAGAAATGACAACAATGTGGTTTTTTTCTTGCCTTTTAAACCATTTGAATAAAAATCAAAGGTGAAAACAGAACTTTCTCTCAACAGGAGAAATGGCATGATTCACGACGCTGGCAGCTCACTGTGGCCACAGAGCAACCTGAGCTGGAAGGACCACGGGAAGGATATCGAAGCTTCAGGGGTCAGCGAGAAGGCAGTCGTGGTTTCAGAGGACAGCGGGATGGAAAAAGAGGCTTCAGGGGACAGCGGGGAGGAAGTAGAAACTTCAGAGGAGGATCAGGAGGTGGAAACAAAAGCAACAGATCCCAAAACAAAGGCCAGAAGCGTAGTTTTAGTAAAGCATTTGGTCAGTGATTAGAAGTAGAGGAATTGTGTGGCAGAATCAGGACTATGGCACCATGGAACTGAGTGGTATTTTTCACACAGAATTAAAGGCAGGTTGTTTCCTTTTGACCACTTGGCCAGTCCATATCCCCAGAAGAAAGACAGGCTTAATCTAAATTATTTCATCTGATCATTATCATTTCTAACTTTATTGCTTTTATCGGGTTTTCCTTTTGAAAAGTAATGAATTGATTACATTGTTATTCTGATATATTCTCTGTAGATATAAGATAGAATCAAGCATGTATGTCTATACTTGTAAGTTGATCTTCTTGTGTTTGTGTGCTGGGGATTGAACCCAGGGCCTCCCACATGCTAAGCATGTGCCCTGTCACTAAGCTACTTAATAGTAGCTTAATAGTGTCCTCTTAATAGTATGCTTCCCTAAAGTAAATATTTACGAGAATACAACAATCTGTGAAGGACCACATTAGCCTTTAAAAGTCAAAAGCTTTGTTTTGTAATTGGTATCTTCAGCCTCCTGCCAGGTACTTACTTGTGTGGTCCTATAATTTGCCTTCTGAGAATTTATACTGAGCAATGTTTTGAAATGAGTTTCAAACTTAGCTAGGTTGTGATAGTTTATGCCTGTGTATATGGTCTAGATTTGAAGGATGAAATAACATTCAATGTAGATTACCCTTGGTCATGTGCATTTTTAAACAATTTTAGCTTCTCAATGTAAGGTGAGTCATGCTTCAATAAGTTCTTCACAGATAATATATATATAGAGAGAAATACATTTTGATAGAAAGCCTGTGTCTTTAAGGAATTCCACGTGTATAAGATGGCTATGTAGCTTTCTTTGTAAATAAGGAGGCTAGATAAATAGTGTTTGAATGATTGTATTCCACTTCTTCCTATTGGAAGATCAACATTATTAAGAAGGAATTAAGGGAATAGGGGACATAGGTTTGTGTAGAGTATGTGCAAAAAAACTCACTGAAAATATTCTTTACATGTAAGAAGGAAACATTAATAAGTGAAAAGCAAAGAGTACAAGTGAAGATGCATGATAAAACATTATTTTAATGATTGATGTGTATTTCAAGAGGTTTACTTCTAATGGGCAAGCTGGGATTTTGGGGGAGAATGGTCTGCTGTAGTTTCTCAATAGCCTAGATTTTAAAGCCACAGAGTAGGACCTGTTTCTGTAAAACCGATTCTTTCTTGAAATACTTTCATTGATTAGAGACTTCCTTTAAGACAAACTGAATGGTTATTTAAGTTGTTTCTCTGTGGGAACTGAATACTTACTGTAGCTCCTGTCAGATAACTACACCTGAGGACTTCAGTGTTTGTTGGAAACATTCTGCACAGCATAGGCGCTCCAGAGTGGCATTGTCCTCTTGCCTTAATTTCTAGAAATTGTCTTTGATCTGTTTTTTTCCTCTAATTGCCTCTCACTTGATCAACTAGCAAAAAGGGGCTCTGATAGCCAATTTAGCTCCTGATCATTGAAAACATCCTTTTTCTGTTTGAGCTTCAGTTTTATCCTTAAGTCTGGGACAAGGTATTTCTTGCTGTTTGAGAATTCTCTTGGCCTTTTATTCTTTGATCCATTTGTCAATTTTATCACTTTGTTTTTATTCCTCATGGATTCCCATCAAGCCACAGGGAATTGGGAGAAGGTATTTGATGACAATCCACATGTGCCTTTGGGTTATAATTTATTAGATTCTGGTTTTGTCTAGATACTTGGACATGCTTTAGTAAAAACTAAAACATATAACAATTTGGATAGGAATGGGTACCTCCTCAGGCAGTTTTGAAGAATATAGTAACTGTGCATGATGGGGGTACACACCTGTAATCCCAGCTGTTCTGGAGGCTAAGTCAGGAGGATCACAAGTTTGAGGCCAGCCTGGACAAATGATGATATTTTGTCTCAATGAAATTTTGAAAGGGGCTGGATGTGGTAGAGCACTTGCTTAGCATGTGTGAGACCTTGGGTTTGATCCCAAGTACTAAAAATATTTGGTAGCTATCCTTTAGGAAGGATAACTTAACCTTTTTTATGTGGATTATGGATTAGCCTAAATTAGAAAAATGATCAGGCATAATGAAGAGTGAAAAGGAAGAGTAATAGGAATTTCACGTTATACAACTTAATTTTAAGAAAAACATAGCTCTTTCAATAAACGAAGCTAACATTTCTTTTGGATTCCAGATTACAGAATTCACACCATATTATAAGTATATAATTGAGCTGTTATTTGGTTTAAATGGACTTTTTGGGCTAGCCTGTGGGAAATGTTACCATTTTTACTATTTTCTACAGAGAAAATATTTTCAGAGTTATGTGTCAAATAATTCAGCGGACTTAAAAATTACAACCCATTTTTGTGTTGGAGTTCTGTGCAGTGCTTCCTCTGCAGTTGTACATAAAATGTTTTTACTGTAAATGAGTTAATATAACATGTTACTTTATGCCATAATAAAAAAAGATATTAGTACTTTATGGTTTTGGTGGCTTTTTGTTTTCTAAAATGAAAGTAGCCCAAAATCATATTATAAAAACAATAAAAGTTGACCATAAAAATCTATGAATAAAACAGTCAAGAGTCACACCATGTCTGATATTTTGGTGAGCAATATTCCGTGTATTCATTTATAAAATTAGAGTCATCCAGTTTTGTGACTCATCTGGAATTATTCCCCTGCCCCCTCAATGTTCTGTGCACACCTTTCTGTAAACAGATCTACAATGACTGTTTCTTAGTGTTTTGGCACAGAGGATTGAACTTCAGTACTTTACCACTTAGCTATTCCCCCAAGTTCCCTGCCATTTTTTTTTTTTTTTAAGATTTGAGATGGTCTCACTGAATTGCTGAGGCTGTCCTCAAACTTGGGCTCCTCCTACCTTAGTCTCTCAAGTAGCAGGGATTATAGGCGGGAGCCACCATTCCCCACTCCAGTGATATTTTTGATACCGTGTTTTCTCAAATAGATAAGCCACTATACATTTAACTCTCAAATAGATAAGCCACTATACATTTTCTCAAATAGATAAGCCACTATACATTTTCTCAAATAGATAAGCCACTATACATTTAACCACATCGGTATTTCCTCATTTTTCACTATCTTAGGCAACTCTACAGTTATATCCTACTTTATATCTGTATATTTGTCTGTTATTTTAGGATATGTTTTCTAAAAGAATTGCAGAATGAAAGTGAATGTACTTGAGTTTTTGGTGTAAACTGCTCTCCAAATTAGTACCAATTTACATTTCAATCAATGTCTCTTGAGAACCTGTTTCCCTGCACCACTGCACAATTAGATTTTATCTTTTTCAGTTTGCTAGGCACCACGTAAAATTGCATTGTTTTTATTTGCATTTTTTAATTGAGGAATAACATCTCATAATGGCTATTTATGTTATTTTTATTCATTATACATTTGTCAGTTTTTAAATTGGGAGCTGTCTTGTTGATAAGAGTTCTTTATTAGTTATTAGCATGTAACATTTTCCAAATTCATTTGTATTTCAACTGAAGTGTTTTGACATGGAATTTTATATTTTTATGCAAATGTAACCCGTCTTTTATTGTTTTTATTATCAAGAAAATGCCTAAATAAACTCTCAAGTTTCAGTTGCTCGTAATTGACATAAAAATCACTAATTTTGGAGGTCATGCAAGCTGTGTAATACATTATTATTCTTTCACTAGCTTTGCTGTAGGTATTACCTTTGATGTGATTGATAATGGTTGTTTGGGGTATTTTTCAGGGTCTCTTGCTGAAAGTACTTGGGCTTGTAGATAATCTGGTTTTGGGTGACAGGAAAGGAATGAAAATTCTTAGCATTTCTGTCTTCATATTTTGTCTGTCTGCATTGTAGCCTTAACCTTTGAGTCAGATTCTACACACTTTTTTTTTTTAATACTGTGGGGGTTTTATTTTTATTTTTTATTTTTTTAAAATATTTTATTTATATTTTAGTTTTCGGCAGACACAACATCTTTGTATGTGGTGCTGAGGAGCGAACCTGGGCCGCACCCATGCCAGAAGAGTGTGTTACCGCTTGAGCCACATCCCCAGCCCCAATTCTACACACTTCTGCATGTAGACATGTTGATCACTTGAAAAAAAGTTCTGTCCAAAACCATAATACAATGTTAACCTAGACTTCCATAGTGTCTCCCGGCATCCTTAAGAAACACCTACCAGCTCAATGACATCAACCATGAAAGGAATTGAAAACAAGTGGCTACTTTCACTGCCTATATCCAAAAGACATAAATATTTCCTCCCCTATATTACCCTTTCTTTCTCCCATGTTGGTCCTATCCTTATATTCCCCCTGGAGTGGAGATGCTTATTTGTGAGTATGAGTTCTTACTTCTCCATTCTTTGGACATTGAATGAAGCCTTTCTCCTCAACACTTGTCTCTCAGACATTGGATTTTCTGTGGCATTGGCTTCTGAACCTGGGTTCAGATTATGTCTTTAATTCATCCTAGTTTGTGAGGATCAAATAGGGACATTGCCGCAGTCTGGCTGGGCACAAAATAACCTAGCCGCCACAAAGCCTTGTAGGTTCAAACAGCAACTCTTTATTCCTGAACTCTCACCTGCACTCTACACGCACTTTCTGGGAACACACTCCCTCCACCAGGCTCCTGGCTCTCAACAGGATATAGCTTTATTTATTTGTCTTCCCAAATTACTACTACTAATTATACAATTTTACAAAATTTTAGTTATAGATGGACACAATACCTTTATTTATTTTTATGTGGTGTGACAGATCAAACCCAGTGCCTTCTGTATGGTAGGCAAGCACTCTACCACAGAGCTACAACCCAGCCTTCCTAACTGAACTGTTTTTTTGTGTGCAGGGCGCAGTGGGAGGGTACTGGGGTTTGAACTCACGGGCACTCAACCACTGAGCTATATTTACCCAGATCTTTTTTGTATTTTATTTATAGAGATAGGGTCTCACTGAGTTTCTTAGTGCCTTGCTATTGTTGAGGCTGGCTTTGAACTCATCTTCCTGCCTCAGCCTCCCAAACTGCTGGGATTACAGGTGTGCATCACCATGCCTGGCTTGAACTTTTTTTTTTTAATTTTTAGTTGTAGTTGGATACAATACCTTCATTTTATCTATCTTTATGTAGTGCCCATTGAACCCAGGGCCTTGCACATGCCGAGCAAGTACTGTACTACTGAGCCACAACCCCAGTCCCTTAATTGGTTTTTGAAATATTGTCTTTGCTATATAATTTACAAGTTTTTTCACGTCAGTTTTTAAATATTTATTTCTATTGGAATTGCATAGAATTCACAAAATGCATCAAAGTTCTCCAAGAACATTATTGCTTATAATTTTTATATAATGTATTTTATTTTCAGTTTGAAGTAATTTTAGACTACAAAAATGTTGCAAAAAATAGCTGGATGTGGCCTGAGGTTGTGGCTCAGTGGTAGAGTGCTCGTCTAGCATGCGTGAGGCACTGGGTTCAATCCTCAGCACCACATAAAAATAAAGATATTGTGTCCACCTAAAAAACTAAAAAATAAATATTAAAAAAAATAGCTAGATGTGGTAGTGTGAAAAACCAGCCTCTATCTCAGAGCAAAGCCTGTCCAAGGAAGGGACATGACCTTTGTCCTTGAAAAGACCCACAGAGCACTCCTAGGCACATTCGCACCCTGCTAAGTTATTTATCTACAAATAACAGGAGAGATTTGCTGCCAGGTGTCCCTGACTCAGGCTAGGTGGAGACCCATAGTAACCCCCTAGCAGCCACCAATCAGCACGAGACAGGGAAATACCTGGGATGCCAGCTGACCCTCCCAGTAGTTTATGGTGGTTGATAACGTGTTGGGAAACCATGTATTTCAGCAGGAACACCCCTTTGGGCTTAAACCAATCGGTTCAAATGAATCCCCCTAATCATCCCTCCCCCAACTTGTTCCCGCCAGTGAATATGCTAATCATGTTTTAGGTTTGATTTTCCCACAGTGTGTGATGATTTGCTAAGAGATGCTATGATGTATGTGAAGTCCCTGCCTTCCCCAAAGAGTGTATAAAACTGCTGCAAACCCTGGGCTCAGGGCCTCTCAGCATCACCAGTTGCTGTGTGTGCGCGCGGAGGAACGAACTAGCTCGCAATAAACACCTCTTTGCTGCTTACATTGATCTTGGGTCTCTGCATGCCTGTATTGTCAGCTACTTGAAAGGCTGAGGCAGGAGAATCACCAATTCAAGGTCAACTTGAGCAATTTAGCAAGACTGTCTCAAATTTTTTTTAAAAAAGCTGGGATTTTTTTTTAATTAGTTACACAAGACAATATAATGATCTTCACATATCATACATTTGAATCAGATGGGGTATAATTTCTCATACGAAAATAAAGTTGTTAGGATTAAAAAAAAAAAAAGATGGGATTGTAAGCTTAGTAGTAGAATGCTTGCCTATTAAGTGCAATGCCGCAGTCTGGGTGGGCAAATAACCCGGAGGTGACAAGCAACTTGAAGGTTGAAGCGGGAACTACTTTATTGCAAGTGAACTCAGCGTGAACTGAGCAAAAACTCAAAGTAGCAGGCACCCAAGGTAACAGGAGCCGCTTCTCTATGGGACAGCAGAGGTACATATACCCAACTAATTACACACAGCTTAACTTAATTAACATCATCTAGATACAGCAGTCAGTCATTAAGGAATCCTCATCTTAATGGCTCCCTTGCATTACTTCACAAACCACTCCTCCTGGCAAACTGGCAGGCGCCATCTTTACTTGATTTGCATCCCCAACAGTGCAAGGCCCTGGATTTGATTTTAACTACCAGAAGAAAAATGCAAAAATAATAGTTCTTACATATTTCACACAGTTTCCAACAATGTTAACATTTTATATAACCATAATACAATTATCAAAACCAAGATATTAACATTGGTGTGATACTATAGGTGTGATACTATAGGCCTGGTTCTGATTTCACCTTTCAACTTTTCAGGTTCCAGATACAATTCAGAATTCAACATCGTATGTAATAGTCATGTCTGCTTAAATGTCCCAATCTGTCCGTGGGCCTTTTTTCCTTGTCTTTATTATATCTTGACACTCTTGAAGTGTTGAAGTGTCAATAACTGTTGCAGACACTAAAAGGTAATGGGTGAAAGAAAGTTCATGAAGAAACAGGATATTTGCATAGTCTCAAAATATCTCCTCAAACTAGGCTAGGTGATGCATGCCAGTAATCCCAGACACTGAAGCAGGAAGATGGCAAGTTTGAGGTCAGCCTGGGCAATTTAGGTAGATCCTGCCCCCCCCCCAAAAAAAAGGGTATTCTAGCAGAATACCCCTAGGTTCAATCCCCAACACTAAAACATAAATAAATGCAAACCTTCATAAATCTGCGGATTTTCAACATTTTTTTTTCATTTTTGGTACTGGAGATTGAACCCGGAGGTGCTTTACTACTGAGCTTCATTCCTCTTCTTATTTTTTGAGGCAGCCTCACTAGTTTGCCCAGGTTGGCCTCGAACTTGTGATCCTCCTTCCTCCCTCCCAAGTCACCAGGATCACAGACGTGCGTGTGCCAAAGCACCTGGTCACTTCTAGAGGTTTTCTAAAAGAAATTTTTATCCACTAATGTTCAAAGGTTCAAAGGTTCCTGCCTTTCAACTTATATCAGTTAATGTGAATAGACAGCCGAAATGTTTCGTTAAAGTAAGACGATATTAAACATTTCATATGCACTGTACGTACATCTTCATAATGTGAAGCAAGAGAATTCACACTGCAGGAGGTGGGGTAATCCTCATAGGCAACTTTATCTCCACGACGACGGTTACTGTGTTGGCCAAAACGCCCTCCCATTGGTCAGAGCCACATATTGCGCTTCCCTTGAAGAACTTCATTGGTTACCGTTCCCCAGCTGCCGGACTTTCCCGGGGCCGTAAGTGAAGTGTCGCAAAGCATAAAGAAGGCGGGAGTCCCAACTCCAAGCCCTGAGCGATCTCAGGCTGAGGAGGCCGCTATGGCGAGCGTTCCGCGTGTCGAAATTCGTGAGAAATTCCAGGCGGCTCTGGCCCTGTCGCGGGTGGAACTGCATAAAAACCCGGAGAAAGAGCCGTACAAGTCGAAATACAGCGCCCGAGCACTGCTGGAAGAGGTCAAGGCGCTGCTCGGCCCAGCGACTGAGGACGAGGATGAGCGGCCTCAGGCCGAGGACGGCTTGGGCGAGGGTGACCACGCCCTGGGGCTGCCCACGGAGGTCGTGGAGGCCGAGGGGCCCGTCGCCCAGCGGGCGGTGAGGCTGGCGGTGATCGAGTTCCACCTGGGGGTGAACCACATCGACACGGAGGAGCTGTCGGCGGGGGAGGAGCACCTGGTGAAGTGCCTGAGACTGCTGCGCAGGTACCGGCTCTCGCACGACTGCATCTCGCTGTACATCCAGGCGCAGGTGAGAGCCAGCGAGCGAGCGAGGGATCCGGGCCGCCGCTGTTTTGCCAGCACTGGCCCCGGGGGGACCGCAAAAGGCGAGGGGCGGAGGAGCTCCCGCGGTGGCCATGACCGAGGCAGGGCAGGGGTCAGTAGACGCCGTTTCCCCCCATGTTTTTGAAGCTTTGGGATGAGACCAGACAGGAGCTTTTTGGCCTTCAAAAAAGTCTTAAGGATTTATTGCGTTGTATCTAGATCTCCCACCGTCGGCATCCAAACTCCTCTCCACCCCCATCGTCCACTCATCATTTATTTGCTACTTAATTGTGGGCAAAGCATCGGTTTCTAAAACCCCTTCATTGTAATGTGCTTTTTTTTTTTTTAAACTCTCGAGTTTTTGTTTTTGTTCAAATAAGAAAAAATCCGAATTAACTTATTATTTATTTATTTTAAATTGTGGTACTAGGGATTGAATCCAGGAGCTTTTATCACTGAGCTACATCCCCAGTCCGCCTTCCCTTTTTTATTTTATTTTTATTTTTTATTTTGAGGCAAGGACTCACCAAGTTGTTGAGACTTAACTTTGAACTTGCTATTCTCCTGCCTCAGCCTCCCACGTCGCTAAGATTACAGGTGTATACACCACCATTCCTGGCTCCAAAGTAATTTAAATCTTAAACTCTTCTCGCCAGGCACCGTGCACACACCTGTAATCCCAGCGACTTTGGCGGCTGTTGCAGGAGAATCCCAAATTCAAAGCCAGCCTCTGTAATTTAGGCCCTAAGTAACTTAGTGAGACCTTATCTAAAAATAAAAAATAAAAAAGGCTGGGGATGTGGTTCAGTGGTTAAGCACCTCTGGGTTCACCCCGTATACCAAAATCATCATCATCATCATCATCATATTTGTTCTAATTAGTTATACATGATAGCAGAATGCATTTTGATTCATTGTACACAAATGGAGCAAACTTATCGTTTCTCTGGTTTTACATGATATAGAGTCACACCACATGTGCAATCATACATGTACCTAGGGTGATGATGTCCATCTCATTCCACCATTGTTCCTGCCCCCTTCCCTTCCCTCTCTCCCCTTTGCCAAATCAGTTTCTCCATTCTCCCTACTCCGCCTCCCCTTCCCCCCCATTATGGATCAGCATCCACTTATCAAAGAGAACATTCGGCTTTTAGTTTTTTGTGATTGGCTTACTTTGCTTATCATTATATTCTCCATTTCCATCCATTTACCTGCAAATGCCATAATTTTATTAAAAATATGGAATGCTTCACGAATTTGTGTGTCATCCTTGCGCAGTGGCCATGTTAATCTTCTCTGTATCATTTCAATATGTACTGCTGAAGGGAGCATCAGAGTGCTCTTAATTCAAAACAAGGGCTGGGGATGTGGCTCAAGCGGTTGTGCGCTCACCTGGCATGCGTGCGGCCCGGGTTCAATCCTCAGCACCACATACAAACAAAGATGTTGTGTCTGCCAATAAAAAATAAATACTAAAAAAATTCTCTCTCAAAAAAAAAAAAATTCAAAACAAAATGTCAGCCGGTAGTGGTAGTTTGATGCCTATAATCCCAGCTGCTCTGGAGACTGAGGCAGGAAGAGTTCAAAGCCAGCCTCAGCAAAAGCGAGGCCATAAGCAACTCAGTGAGACCCTGTCTCTAAGTAAAATACAAAATAGGAAAATAGGGCTGGATAATGTGACTCGGCAGTCAAGTGCCCCTGAGTTCAATCCCAGGTACCCTACCGCCATTGGTTTCTCCTTAACATGTTCTCCAAGGAATTCCTACTCATTCTTCAGAATAGATCTCAAGAATTACCTCATTTTAATAACTTTCTTTGGACCATTTTTGTCCAAACTTATCTATATCTCATTTATTTGGTGCATGGTTTATTAAGAAATAAATCTGAGCCAGGCATGGTGGTTTGTATCTGTAATCCCAGCAACTCAGGAGGCTGAGGCAGGAATATTGCAAGTTCAAAACCAGCCTCAGCAGTTTAATGAGGCCCTAAGCAACTTTTGAGACTCTGTTTCAAAATAAATAAAACAAAAATAAAAAGGGCTGGGGGAAGATTCAGTGGTTAAACATCCCTGGGTTCAATTCCCAGTACTATCCACCCACCCTGATAAAAAGAAGTAACTGCAGAGTGCTGTGATGCAGGCCTGTAATCCCAAAGACTTGGGAAGCTGAGGCAGGAGTATCACAGCAAGTTTGAGGCCAGCTTCAGCAATTAGCAAGATAAATTAAAAAGGACTGGTATGTTGCTTAGTAGGAAAGCATTCTTGGTTTCAATCCAATCTCCAGTACCCCCCCCCACCCCCCCCCAAAAAAAAGTAAATGAAACAGTTTTTACATTCTGCATTGGGAACATAACACTTTTAAAATATGAATATGGGGCTGAGGATGTAGTTTAATTTGGTGGCAGAGCCAGTCTCTAGCGTGCACTAAGCCCTGGGTTCTGTCCCAAGCATCACCAAAATAAGTAAAAATGAAATAAAATATAAATATGTTCAAACTAGTCACACATGCAGGGTATCAGGTACTTTGCATAGACTTGCAAACCATTCATCCAATAGTTAATAGTTCATAATATTTGTGATCCAGGAAACATTTACCACAATTGATCATATGGCAAGTAGGATTTAAGAAAAATATCAAAGTTTAGAAAGAAGTTGTGTAAGTTATATTTTATTATGGCCCAGTAAAATAAAAAGCCATATGATAACAAGGAATCCACTCTTTTTGTTTACTATTTATAGCCCAGTACATGACATATATTATTTATTCTAAATAATATTTGAATGGATGAATGATCTAATGAAATTCACAAAACATTGAATTCAAACAAAACCTGTTATTTGAATTTTCCTCTAACCATATAACCTAAAACCTTAATAAACATTTAAACTTGCTTCAATATTTCAAACAAAGGGCCTGGGGATGTGGCTCAAGCAGTAGCGCGCTTGCCTGGCATGCGTGCGGCCCGGGTTCGATCCTCAGCACCACATACAAACAAAGATGTTGTGTCTGCCAAAAACTAAAAAATAAATATTAAAATTCTCTCTCTCTCTCTCTCAAAAAAAAAAATCATAATCTTCCATTTAAAAAAATATTTCAAACAAAGAATTAGGAATCTTCCCTAATGTAGTATCATTAGTATATACTGTATTTTCTTTTACTTTTTTATTTATTAGCAGTACTGGGGGTTGAACCCAGGACTTCACACATGCTAGGTACGAGCTCTACCATATCCCATCTCTTTTTATTTTTATTCTGAAACAGAAACTCATTAAGTTACCCCTACTGGCCTTGAACTTGGGATTTTCCTGCCTCAACTTTCCAAGGAGCTAGTATTACAGGAATAGCTGATATTACAGGTGTGCACCACCTACCAGCTATATATTATTGATTTTAAGATGCACACATTTCTGATATCTGAATTTGGGGTGCATTTTATGATGATCAGTTTTATAATTATTAGTATTTTCTTGGTATATAAAATAATTGTGCATCTTAAAATCGTAACATTTTACATTTCAGTGAAATACAGAAGAGTCATCCTTTGATATCCAGCTGTAAAGAATTGGTTGTAGGATCCCTGCTGATATTCTTAAGGATTATCTTAAGACTTTGGCTTAAAAATTCCACATCACTATTTCAAAGTAATTTTGGACCAGCAAATGCCTGTAATACCAGCTCCTTGGGAAGCTGAAGCAGAGAATTGCAAATTTGAGACCATCTTTAGCAGTTTAGCAAGACCCTATCTCAAAATAAAAAATAAAAAGGACTAGGGATGTAATGATGTAGTTCGGTGGGAGAGTGCCTCTGCATTCAATCCCTTATGGCTGCCCACCTCCTGAAAAATAAAATTTTTTAAAGGTAATTTGAGACAAGTATGTAAACACATGTGAACATGAATATTCATTACAGCATTGTCAATTATTAATAAAGGAAAATAATATAAATATGAGTGAGCATGTGATTGATTAAATTCTGTTACATCTAAACAAATACTATGAAATCATTAAAAAATAGTGATTTGTATTTGTCAACAAAAAATTGCCAGTTTGGTATGTGCTACAATCCCAACTACTTGGGAGATCCCATCTTAAAAAAAAAAAAA